ACGCAGTCAGGTACCCTACCGTGACGTCGGGCTACAATTTGGTAATCACATCCCGGACGCTCTAGATACCTACACTGTCCATATAGGTCTACACATGACAAAGCCGCAAGGAGCTGCCGAGTGATCTCGAGGTGCGAGTGGGGACAAATGCATGTGCATGCCATTTTGTCGAAGTGCAGCCTTTGTTGCAGATCATCTTGAGCACTCGAGATCAGATATCCTCTCCGGATCAGGAATACTTTCCGGGGTCATGGATTTGATTGGATGAGCACCCATCAAGCGCATGCAGTGCGAGGGTGGGGCCCTGTAGCTGGTCCGAAGTTGCCTTGGTGCATGTCCGCCTTCCATTGTGGCCGCTCTCCGGCCTTATCAGCCCTGCTGGTCATGAACAATGAATTAACAGGAAGCTTTCGTACCATAATACGGGCTCATAACTTAAGCCTTGGAAGCAAGCTGTAGATGTTTGCAACTTGGAGTCCCGTAGTCTCTGTTATCCAGTCACAGTTGAGTCGATCGCTATTAATAGGGAGTTGAGATAAATGTAAAAGGTAAACATGAACAATGAACGGGGTAGTGAGTGGATAGGTAAGGATGTGGTGATACACCCCCGGCCACTCTGCCGGCTGTGATGATTTTGGTCGCACGTGCGGGGCAGCTTGCTGCAAAGCCCAGAAGAGGAGGTGGCTTGATTTCGCTCCCGCCACACCCGCCCCTCTAGTGTCTAACTGTGTGCTACCTGGTAGCTTAAGACTTTACGAAACTTATTATATGGAAGATTTTGATACCCATTCCCTCTTGCCGGAAACCAACAAAAACACCTGTGGTCATCTCCCCAGTGAATTCCAATTGATGGTGGTTCCATGAGGTATCTTGAGCACTATGTAGCCATTTCCAAGCCCACGCACGATGAATCTTTGGTCACTGTCTACCTACCAAATGGGGTTCCAGCGCAAGTTGAGCCAAACTGCTGGATCAATCACAACCATCCGAAGTAGCCTAGCCGTGATCCATCGCTGCACGCGCTGCCGGGCGGAGGGGTGGGAGACGGTCTGCACACCTTATGCATCCGTGCGGCAGTGAGCCCACCTACACAAGTAAACGTACAACGGTGTCTTGCTAACTATATATCGATCACCTCCAGCTCTTTTCTAGATGAGAAGACATCATTCTCTTTTTTCATCCCAAAGTTCCTTTCATCTCACGATTCGAAGCTTTTTCCAGAGTCAAGTTTTACTTGCTCGTGTCACATTGTATCCCATCACAGACAGCAGATCCATATTCACCATGCCCTCCACCTCCAACACCAAGCTTAGCACCTCGGTAACACACAACACCAAAAACTCAATGTTGGTCGTCATTTTACTTGCCTCGTATCCCACTCTTCCAACATGATTTTAACAGTTATTTTCTGCTTGTAGCTCTCGATACCCCCAGCCTCTCTCAACCCAGTCACCATCGACAGTCACCCCTTCCGCAATCAAGAAAGCGTCACCCAAGAAGAAGCGCAACAACGCCATGTTGGAGTACTACCTTGCCGAGTCTCCCAGAGACGGAGCAAACATGTACTGTCGTTGTCACTCTGGCTACCATCCAACATCAACCCCGTCGTCGGCGCCGTCCCTTTCTTCGGCCATCACATCCCCCAAGAAAGAGTCGACCGCCTATGCTTCCAAGGCCGCGGATGATTTTGACACTGCATTTACCGAGAATCGATAAAGAAAGGGATTTTTCTCTGTTGCGGCACGGTGCTGGTCATTCTCAGGCGGCGCGGAGCGGAGCAAAGCTCGGGTGACACACCGGAGCAGACCCACATTTCCGGCGCGGAATTCATGGTCAGTCATGCGGAGCTCGGAGGCTGTTGGCGGCGCGAAATATGTGATGAAATTGATGATTGGCTGAAGCCACGACAAAAAAAAATTGGATCTTTTTTTCTTCTCGGTCTGTTGCAGCGGTTGATCGGCGTTTTATGCGGGTAGCTAGCTGGTTGGACGGACTAGTTTCTCAACTTGGATAATGTTTGTACAATACTCTTATTTTTTTTTAACTCATGCTCCTATCACTGTGACCTAATAGTCTTAACTCCTGCTGTTCAAGACATAAGACATCCATTGTACCTAGTTCGTTCTTTTGGTATAAGCAAGTCTAGCGATACCTCGGTGCGACCCGCACTAACAGATAGTCTTTTGGTGAGAAAGCAACACCTAATATCGAACAGAACAAGGCTGTCTCGTGCAGGAATTGGTAAATGGATAAATATCCCCCTTACATATAGTGTACCGTCTCTTACCCCGAAGGCAATCGGCAATTAGTTATACAATTTCTCCTTGATCGGTGCGCTAGTAGAGCAGGTGCGACTTGATACTATGCTTGTCGGTAAACCTTCCACGTTTAAGCCACGCTCGTCACTATTCCGCAGTTGCTGTTGTGCTACCAAGCATCTTTATGGATTTAACCCTGTCCCGGAGCTTTGTCCCCCACTCTGCTTGCAGATGGAGTGGCGTTGTAATTAAACGATCAGGACGGAATCTACAGGTTGAAAAAGACATCATTCCGTAATGGGTAGGTTAGCGCCGAGGACCCCGATTGTTGCATGGCCAGCCGGATCTACGAGTGCATAGCTTGCTTGCCTGGGCAGAGCGTGGCTCCTGCATGGCGATTGTGGGTAGCGTGTGCCAACAGTTTTTTGCCGGATGACCGCAAGGCTGCTTAATGCGACGTCCCCTATTGTCAGTTCTACTCTATATCTTCACATCCTCCTACACCGTTAAGGATCCTCGTAGAACCGTCTCTATTCATTTTGTGCCGACGACTGGATAGTTGTCCCAGAGCACCCCCCTTTGTCGCTTTCATTCACCTACACGACTGCAAACTCACCTTCCTGACTCTGCTCTATCTCAGCGGAACCACTCCCAAAAGATGTCTGCCCCTTCAACATCTTCCTCCTCGAAACTTCGGTATGTTTTGTTTCCGTTCGGGCTCCCGGTGTCAAGTTGTGTGATCTAATAAATTTTCTTATTATCAGCATCGAGTTGAGCAGTCCAACTCTATCCAGCGCAACCCTTGGTCGCTCCCAACTCCAAAGCTCCAACAACCTCAGCAGCACGACTACTTTCAGCATCACCGCAACAAGCACCACCACATCATTGCACCAACTCGAGGGCTTCATTGAGCAAGACATGTTCGACGATGGCACTATTCATAGTAGAGTGCCGGAACATGAAGTCCATTTCGATGAAGACTCGTGCGTCCCCTTCTACGAAGCACGCGCACACGCTGCCATCGCGCAATTCGAGATTGCTTTTGCAAGCGGTGATGAAGAGCGCTGAAGGGAGATTGGGCTGGGCGTGCACAGTGTGGCCTGTTTCGCAGCCTCAACTCCCATGATCCAGCCAATCAACTCGATGCAACAGGGGAGGGGTGGCTGCCTGTTTTGGGGGTGGTGTGCCAACAACTCCTACCCCGCACCCCGCCGCCGGGCGGCCCTGCCCTGCCTGCCTGGTACTTCTTTTCATCCTCCAGCAAAAGCGAAAATTGTTGCTGGAGATGTGTGGAAGCCATCTTTTCCCACCAGCTCCTCGACATAGCCATCGACAATCAACACCACCCCCACCTTCCCATCCAACAGCTATATCTCTATAATTTCTCTCATTTCTACTTCCATCACTTATAAACGGAAAAAAAAACATTGAAATTTTTTTTTGATAAAAAGAATTTGATAAAAAAATTTTTAAGAAAAGAATTTGAAAAAAGGAATTTGAAAAAAAGAATTTGAAAAAAAAAAAAGAAATTTGAAAAGAAAAAAAAAGACATCACATCCTGTTTTATTCTCCCCTACTCTTCTTATTTAAGTTTTTCCTGCAGCACTTGGCTTCTGAGAAAAAAATCACAAAAAAGGCACTATATGGGGTCTGCGCTTGGTGCAAGCTTCACGGGCGAGCGAGCTGACGTCAAAAGTGGATACGAATGGTTTCAGTTTCGTGTCAGGGATCTACTTTCTTCAGTTTAAACTTTTTGGATTGTGATTTTAGGGATAGCACGAGGAGAGAGAGGCGGTTCATCAATGGCACATGACAGCAAACGTAAACAGGCACAACGCATATGATGACATGGCGGGGGTGTAACTGGTTAGAGGATGTGGACTTGGTTTCTGTTGATTTATAGCAGATGGGTGGGTAGATAGAATATCTTTTTGTGGAGTCAAATATATCCCGTTTTCTCCCACCACAAAGCACGGATGGGTTAGATGCATGTGCAGGGTACCTATCTTCAATCTTCACGCATGTCCAAATTTGAGTTTGCACAGGAGTTAGTTAGTCGGTTCCATTCGACTGTGAGATCATCATTCTAAGGAGCACAAACACGCAAAGTTGTGAGCAAAGTATTATTTATATATTACGTTAGACTCTAGACAACAAACTCACCTACCTGGGCCGATATCAAACTTACCGTATGCATAAATGAAATCCAAGCACTTACCTTGAAACCTACGATCAGCAAGTTCCTTTCCTCTACTCCAAGATATTCCGACCGTACTCATCTGGCGCCGTCAGCATAGTGAGAATGAGGTCATGATTACCGGCAGCCCTGGCCTCGATGAGCTTGTCCAACGCGTTCCGCGTCTTCAGGTTCCGCGTCTTCAGAATCCGTCCTCAGGATATCAGGATGCAGCGGCTCATCAACGAAGTGCCACTCTTGCATGGAGCACAAATGAGCCGGTATCCGCTTCAAGTTGGGTGGTACCAATACTTTTGGCAAGAGACCGGGGAACAGCCTGTTGAAGTCCAACCCCAAACCCACGTCCTTTCAGGAGAAAATGATTGGGGCATCGGTGTTGCCACATAAAAGCTGATGGGCAGGGCGGTCACGGTAGAGGTTGCGCTGGAACTTACACTCCACGCACCTCCGTTCGTGACGAGCCTTGCCAACGATGTGAGGGCTTGTCTCTTCAATGCAGTTTTCGTGCTTCCTGCGAACTTCCTCTACATCTTCGTCATCATTCATCACCTGTTCACTGCTTTGATCCAGTCGAAGGACGTCTGATACTGCTGCCGGTACTGCTCGGTGAGTTCTCTGTCTTGCTCCGCTCGCCTCTGAATCGATGAGAGCCTGCTCTCTGTCGTGGTTGCAAGTTTCCAATCTGTGAGGGCCATCTTCTGCACTTCGGAACTTCTCATCCAAGGTTTCCTTGTGGCTGTGTTGAACAACTCACTGTCATCAAACATGGCATTCGAGGGAAGTTTCATGCAACCGAAACAAGCGTACCGGCTGCTAGCCCACCAGTCCCGGCCACGGTTTGTCATGGGTGGTATGGCCTCGTGTAAAAGACGAAATCTCGGGTGCCGAAATGGGTAGCCTGGGTAGTCGTCCGGCTCCGGGCCACCATCCTTGGGAAGAAGTTCGAGAGCGAGTAGACGCTGTTGAAAGTCATGTTCAATAGGGTTGATAGATTTGCGAAGGCCCTTGGAGGTTTGAGAAAGGGCGATGAGAGAAACGGGATCGAGGCAGGAAATAAGGTCGATGAGAATATCCACTGGGAGGGAGATTAAGACGTCCTGAACAGAAGCCATGGTGGAAAAGTTCGATAGTATGTTGTAGCTGTGTACTGATTTCGGTGTTGAGGCGTGCTGAAAAATATGATGATTCGAAAAGCAAACCGTATGAGAGGGGTATGCGCTGGTCTTTTATACGAGACATTTTCATGATACTCCGGCGGCCAAATTCAATGTTTGATTGGAAGGACAATAGGCATTGTCTATGCAAGCCAAGTGGAAGGCCACAAAGAAGGATGATTCGCTCCGGTAATAAAACAAAGAAATTCATCTTCGCCTGCTTTGTGGGCCAAGTCGCGAGGGGCGCCAAAAAAGGGCTCCATCTCCCCGTTGCGCGTCGTCGACTTGGAAACAGTGAAGGTCTGGGAGATCGTGCAACAAATATGAACACTGTTCTGAGGACATGATCAGGCAGACAAGCATGTCCACTTTCATTGTGCTGCCTCCAACAGAACATACGAGAGTTGGACTGATATTGTCAAGTAGGAGGGGAACAGCGGTTTTTGCTGATGATCGGCATGGGCGACTGCGAATAATCTGATACCGTCGTAGTCTAAGCGAGGGTGAGGTCGCATGAGAGGGACAGGAAGTCGCCCATGAGTCGAGTTCATGCGGTCGATATCGGGGAACGCGCAGGGTCGAGAGTTGGCAGTGCTCGAAATCGAAACCAGCCGAGGCCGAGGAGAACGCTTGTCAAACTTCAAGCGTGATGTCAGACTGCGCTGTAGAAAGGATACAGCTTTTGCCGTGCAGCCAAGCAGGTAATGCTGGGGAGTTCGTCCAGTTTCGGGGGGTCGAGGGTCTATTTCCACAGTACTTTAATCCATCGCAGTTTTGTCTGGTATGTACAATGCTGGACCGATGGTATGCCGCGTAACAGGAGAGTGAGCGTGGACTTCATGTCTCCACATGCGCGCGGGCATTGCATATTTGGAAGCCAGTCGAGAGGCGGCTTGCAGTGGCGATGGTGAGGAGATGTCTGAGAAGCTCGACTGAAAGGACCGAAACGGCATTGGCAGGGTGAAAGCATTGTCGTCCTCGAAAAGTCGAGGATGGAAAGATGGTTAAGAGCACCCGAGGGTCTTGGACTTAATATGCCACCTGAAGGGCCAAGGGCACAGTTGTGTATCAAACCACGCCAGAAGCGTGGCCTGCTTGTGTCTAATGAGAAAGGAAACAAGTCCAAAAAGCCCAAAGTACGCCATGCTCAATCCCATGCCGAGTTGGAATACGACGGAGAGCGTGCCCGTCGAAGGATTGTAAGGAAAATCAGGCCAAGGGTCAGCTGTACCCATCATCAAGAGCTTCCAAGTTCCTGCCCTTCCAGGAGGTTAAGATTCAGGAGCTTGCCGAGCAAGTGCCCATTGGTCAGATTCCCAGGACACTGACGCCAAAGGCCGCTGGGATTGTCATGTTGATTCAGACATCTGCAGAATGTCCAAATCGGAGGCGACGTCGATGGAGAGGTTTCAAGAGAATGTCCAGGAATTCATTGCGCTCAAAATCTTTGAATTGGCAGGTTTGATGTTCAGAGGCTGCAGCCATGTGTTGATGTATGGCAAAAAAGGGTGTTGATTAGAAGCACGCGGTCGAAGGTGGTGTCCATAGTTGGTCAGAGTCAAAAAAAACCCACGAGTGAAGAGGTAAGTGTAAGTCTCTTACTCTGTTTCTGTTTGCCAAGTAATGCGGCTCTGACACACTATTGCGAACCATTTGCGAACCACTTGCGAACCACAAGGCACCCAACAACCTCACCTCTCGCCGCTTTAATGGGCGGTTGAGGGTTAGGGTTATCTGCTGCGTAAGTGTAAACATTTCACTTTCTCACGACCATACAACTTGCCATGGATGGCAAGGGTCTTGCTGCGCGGGAGTGCGCACGTTTGGATCCGCTCGACCAGTCTTTCAAATAAGAAGCATTCCCTCGATCTCCTATATCACGGTAGCCATAGCCTTCCATTCTGTTCAAGTTGAGCACTTACAGGTTCTTTGGAAGTCGTTCAAGATTCCCGAGCTGTTTTAGCAACCTTCTTCCATTCTTATCCAAGTAGATTGTGCTCTCCCTTCTACCTTTTCCAGCTCACTTCATCAATTGACCCGGATCTTTCCAGCCCCAACCATCAATCGCTCTACGCCCCACGATGCAGCATCTTCTACCTGACAACAACCCTCAACCCGTGGAAGGGCAAATGTAGGTTGCAATATTTCCCATTGTCCTTTTTTCCCCATCATACCCCAGTGGGCTGCTTTTCTCTCGGGTCCATAAATACTACCATGTCTTTGTTTGTGTTCTTTCCTTGTCATTCAGATGCCAATCACTTGATATCCATCCGATCTTTCCGCGACCACTCACACATTTCAAGACCTCCACGCACGAACCAAGCCCCTCCCCCACAAGCTATGACCTTCATCTCGGATTGCCTCAACACCTTCCTCCAGCAAAGCGACCTCGCCGATCCAATTGCGTACGGCAGATTGGTTGGTTCCAATGCAGACCTAAAAACCCGCACCCGAATCTACCTCCAAAAGGCAAATGAAGCTATACAGACTTTTAATGCTTCATTTGCCGCCGGCAATTGATCTTTCTTTCCCTTTGGGGTTGGCGTCTCTCTCGACCAATAACAGGTTCCATCTGCACATCACTATGCCAATAAGCCGGCCCGTTAAGGCTTAATAACGCATCGACCAACCAATGGATGTCATATCGATTGCTGGTGGCTGCGGGGCGACAGAAGTGCAGGGCCCGCCCACCCCATTCCCCGACATCATGACAGTCCTCTTTCCTCCCGATATTTTTCATCGCGGGTTATCACCGAGATGCAATTCTCATCCAGTGGCACCTTCCCAGCTCTCTTCGATGTTCTTCACCACTTTTGCGGACCCGCTGAACCCAGTATTGGCCCGCTCGAAACCACCGCCTTCCCAGATGTCGCATTTCCGGAGACGCAAAGAACCTATCCTCGCGTGCCAATCGTGGACGGCAGCCGGCCTTGTGGTGTTCCCAGCGATGTGGTTCGGCTCCGTCATCCCGGTTCTTGGTCACGTGCCGCGGGTGTAACGGTGGACAAGCCTACCCGCACCGTGTGGCTCATACGGTGTACCTGTTTAAGCCCAGTGCACGAATGTGGTTCGTGGGGACTGTTAGTCAAGCCAACTTCAAGCACTGGCGAGTGGAACTGAAAGGGAAATGGAACCAAAATAGGTGCGGATACAATTGTTCTGGGTATTTACTGGATTTCTTTGGGTGGTGTGTAGAATAAGATGGAATTCTCAGCACAGGTTGCATGTTCTATATCGTTGAGTTGGTACCTACCGTATGGACCGATCTACTTTACTCTTGACGCCAAATATTATTTATACCGCTACCCCTTCCTTCATGTTCCCCGAAACCAAGGGTTTTATGTAGTATATTCTCAGTTTAGTCTTCTGGAAATAAACCCTTTATGCTTCTTAAGCGGAGAACATCCTGGTGACGAAAAAGAACAAGATGGGCAGTTTACTGTGGGGCAAGACTTAAATGTGGATAATCTTCCAACTCTTCTCGTGCGCACCTATAGCGGTGGTCCTCCCTCACACTCATCTTCATGGTACAAGCTACGTACGGTCCATCGATCTCCTGCTCCGATGCTCATCATTTTCCGTGCAATATAATGGGGGCAGTCGGAGCAGTTGTTAGTATGGTTGCGCTTGTTAATCTGACTTTGAGGTCAGGAAAGCCGATTCACTAAACCATCTCTGCCGTGAAATACAGCCCTGGAGGTTTTCTCGAACTCGTCGATTAACTTACCCAGCCCCAGTCGATTCTACAGCGGGTGACTACTGTATCACTTGATTCAACCCATCATGTCAACACAACAGGACAATGGGACGCCGCTAGGAACTGCGCAGCAAATGTAATACACCTGAAAGACAATTGCAGAAACTTGATAACCCGTTTAATAACCGACGATCGAGGCAGCGATAGCACCGCTTGAGGGTTGCCATCATCACGATGGACTACAGCACATAAGGCAGAACATACAAGGACACATCTCTAGGTATTTTCACGGTGAATCTAGGTTACAAAACTATTAGCTAAGTACATCCACCCCTAGTCCTCTAACCCATCCAGGAATGTTAACGAGCTAACCCACCCCTCCCAAGTCCCTCTACTTAACCTCCGCCTCAAGCCTTACTCTCTCCTCGCTCAGACATCGATCCCTCATCTGCTTCAGCGTAAAAGCAACCGGATCAGCAAGCTCTGTATTATACGCCTGTACCCTCCCCTCAAACGACTCGTGAGCCTGCTTGTCGAAGACGCAGAGCAAACACCCACAACAGCTCTCAAGTCTCCTCTCAACACGCTGTCGCTTTTGCTTGAGGTGATACTTTGTCGGCGTTTCTACGTTCGTCAAACCCGCCGTCCAATTCTTGATTCGCTTCAAAACTTCCTCTTCGCGCCGTCGTCTCCTCTTCTCCTCCCCCCGAGCCACTACTTTGTAGTGGTCAGGGGGATGGGATAAATTCGACAGATGCCACCGAGGGTTTCGTCTCGGCCATCCGTTGCTCTTCATGGTGTCAACCAGCGGAGTTATGTCGAATCCGTGCTTCGCCAGCCAGCTTAGATTGTCGAAGCGGAGTTCTCCGGGAATGTGTTGTTCTGGTGTTAAGCTTGGTTCTGTCGTTGGGCCTGTACACGGTCCAGGTGCTGATCTGTTGCCGCTTGTTTGGAGGAGCGTGCGGATTTCTTGGCTAAACCACGTTTCTAGCGGGAAATCAACAATGGCGCCGTGGTGGAGGAGGAGCTGGGCTACACCGACGTGTCCGTGTCTGCATGCTGCGCGTAGTGCGGTGCAGTGTCGTGTTCCGTGGGCGTTGACGTTGGCGTTGTTGTTGAGGAGTGCTTCAACTATGCTGACGTGACCGCGGGAAGATGCTATCTGCAGCGCGGTCGCCTGATAACGATTGCCGAGAGATCCCATGTCTGCTCCTGCGTGGAGCAACTGACGCACAACTTCTTCATGTCCCTGCTCAGATGCTTGATGGAGTGCGGCCCGGATGTATTGGTTTTTTGTTGCTTGGTGGGTTAAATCCATTTCCGCCCCCAGCCTTTTGAGAAGAATCTCCACGATATGGCCGTGGCCGTAGTAGGACGCAAGTTCTAGAGGAGAACCATACAAGCTTGCGATTTCAGAGGAGGAACCCCATTTCTGTTCAAACGTGACGTCAGCCCCTGCATCCAGCAGCAACTGGACAATCGCACCGTGGCCTTTTGCTGATGCTACCGCCAAAGGAGTGCCATATCTCCCCGTGGAGTCGTTTAGGGAGACGCGCCGTGCAATCAGTACGCGAAGTCGACCCTCTTCGCCCCGTGATGCTGCCTTGTATGCGCTCCAGCTGTTGGTTGCAGTCGCAGGCTCTTCGTTCGGGCTTTCCATTGGGAACTGCAAGTCCCTTTTCCAGTTTGTGACCTTGTCAATCGCATCCCGTTTACGCTCCAGCGGCTTCTCTGGGACAAATCTGTTTGCCAGAAACCCATGCTGGTTGAGTGCCAAGAGGCCGGCTCGAACCTCGGGGCTTGCACAAGTCGTGATCCACTGCTCGTAGGACATGTCCATCAATCGTGATCGGTCCATCTCCCCTTCCTCGTCCATCCAGGTCCGAGCGGCGATTTCTGCCGTCGGGTCGTCGGCAACAACAAGATGACTCGGCGGATACAGGCCCCCGGGGAGGGCCCGTAGTTTGGCTGAAAGTCCTGCTTCCCCATCTTCGAAGCGCCTCAATTCCGCGTCCTGAAAAGACGCCTTGTATGCCCCCTCCGTGGTTATTACATCAGGCAAGCGCGTGCATGACGAAAATAGCAGATCGGGGTGTTCCTCCCGTAGTTTCAAACTGACATCGATCATGACCCGATCGACGAGACTTTCAAAGATGACTTTCTCGTCAACCAGCAACTCGTCATCGAGCGGGTTTCTGGCGATATTCTTGGCCCTGTCATAACGCAGGCCGAGGCCACTGTGACAGATTTCCAGAATAAAACTGTAAGGCATCCCAGGAACTCCCGTGTCGATACCGACAAAGGATTCGATTTGCTTCAGGCACACACTGTAAATGTGCTCGTAGCTCCGTCTGCCCCATAGAGGATTTGCCGGCCGCGTATTCTTTGCCAAATCGACGATCGGGTCCGCGTAAAAGACCATCATCAACGGGGGAAACAAGTGAAGATGCTGCAGTTTGAAGCAGTTTCGCCCATACGTCTTGTTCGACTCCCTCTCAATCTCCACGTAAAGGGCATCGAAAGATTTGAAGTTGCAGTTGTAACCCTTCAGCATCGTGGATTCAAACATTTTCCAGGCCAGCGTGTGCTGCAAACCTCGTGAGTTTTCCGATGTGGGGAACTGCGTCTTGGAGATGTGAAAGGAGTAGTAAGGGATTGCCTTGGCAAAGTCCTTGTTTCTGAAGTCGATTTGCAGAGTGCGTCCCACGGGGTTGCGCGTTTCGTTCCAGAGCATCTCCAAGAGACCTGGTATATCTCCTTCGGCGTTCAAGTATGTGCTGGCGAAGGCTGTATGCGATGGCATTTCCTCAGCGTCTGTGGCATGTTGTATCCTAGCGTCCGGGCTAGGGCTCGAACTCAGATGGCCATCATCATGTGCCTGCTTCCGTGATACCGGTCCCGTCTTGACACCCCTTATTACGAGACCCGTTGTAACTATTTGGTGAAAAGAATAGGCGTCCCAAATCTCATCCAGGTTCGCGATGCGCTTTGGGTGCAATTCATGGGCTATGAATGCGCGGTCCAGCCTATCCAAAACAATCGCGTCCACCTCGTGTAGAAAGAGACCCTGGCTTGTTCCATTGGCGATTGCAGCGAAAGAGTTATCGATGATCCCTGAGGCACGTTCGTATAGTCCGCGATGAGAGAATACATAGCCATATTTGTTCTTCAGCTCGAACTTGCCCGATGCTGATTTGATCTGCAAGTTTCGTGGGCAATAGCTTTGCTTCTGTCCGTCCCAGGTATATTTCGGGGGGAGTCCGGGATATTGTCGGTTATGTGGGAAGCCCTGGACTTTGTAGCGAGTGTTCAAGTCGGGGTTTATACTCTGCATTGTGCTTGTGGTAGGTGTCCGCCGCCCTGGGATCATGTCCTGGAACCATTTGTGTCGTAGTAATGTAACTTCGACTTAGGATTAGAAGAAACATGACAGGTACCTAACTTCTAGCGGGACATCACCCCTTTTATAGTGACCGTAGACATCAAACCCCATGGAGGCTAGGGTTGTTCCCTAGGCCTTACACATCATCACCACATCAGCGCTCATACGTTTGCAATTAAAGCCCTCGCAATCCAATCCCTGGCATTGAAACCCTCTCAATGAGAAACGCCGCAGTTGGCCGCAATTAGAACCCTCGCGAATGAGGCGTGGCCCGGTATTTAAAGCTTCCATGCCCGGGTGGGGGTGCGCTCGATGAATTGCATGGGCGCGTAGGCAGCAACAATTAACACCTAAGGTAGACTAGCTTATCAACCCGGTCGTTGTGCTATATCTCTCTATTGTAATCCTTGGTACCCAGCGAATGCGGAGCCTCGGATTGTGCCTGGGAGAATACTACCAGGCCCAGATGTGGCCAAGGCCGGACCGGGCCGCACAAGATGGCCGAATCCACGCTCGTGGGATGAAACGCAGGTGAAATATCCCAACAGAAACACCAACTTGGTCGATAAATCATACCAGGCTGAGGTATAAGAAAAAATGCATCGTCATAGAGAAGAGCAGAGCCTTCAGTTCATTACCACCCTGGAGAAAGCAGTCTTTGCTTTGAAGAAAAACTCTACCCGGCACAAGTTAGGTAGATTTTGAACTTCAAGCTTAATTTTCAAGAAATATATGGTTGTATTAGGACGAATGTTGACCAGGGTATTAATGGATGGGACAATGGCTCGTATTGCAAGCCAGCAAAGGTATAGTTAGACGTCAACTTACACTTTCCTCGCTATCTTCAATAAGAAATAGGCCTATCCAATCTTGAAAAGTCATTTAGCGGCCATCAAGATCCCTACACGCTCGGAGGAACATAAATATGGCGAATGAATGTAGAATCTATTCAAAGTTGAAAAGAACCGCCATCAAAAGAATGTCCTTCTAGGGGCTAACCTGCTCGCAGCTTGACCCCTCCATTACAAAGATTATATCCTCCTATCGTACAACAAAATCTCGTCCAAAAAGCTGGGGGAATGAACTGGTGGTGATGGTATTAGGTGCAGTGTATTAAGTGATATTAGTGCTTGTTGTGCGGTGAGTGAAGAATGTGTTGTGAAAAAAAGGGGTATTAATGCTGAAGCCGCATCGCTAAAGTGTTAAAATGCTCCTCCTCCTCCTCCTTCTGTCACAACCTAGCAGCCATACTTCATCCAGAAACCCGCTCCCTGGACAGCCACCTCCTCAAAGCTGACCTGCTTCCCCTCCGACTCCTCCGCAACCTCCAGTCTGAAGCACATCTGCTCTCTGCAAGCCCAGCTGCTGATGCTAGCCTTGCTCCCCTGGTAGAACTGAGTCGTGCCGACCAAAGCATTCGCATCTGGGCCGTCAAGAGCGTAAACATTGACCTGTGCTGATCCGTAGACAGCAGCTTGGGAAGAAGACAGGTCGAGGACCAGCTCGCAGGGTCCGGTGCCGGCGGAGACGACTGAGGAGGGAATGGAAAAGCCGATCTCGATACCGGAGGCGTCGGCGGAGGAGATGAAGACTTGGTAGGGAGGGGGGGTGGTGGGGGAGTTGCGGAGGTTGGGGTAGATGGTCCCGCATTGTTGGCGTTCCTTGAGGAGGGGGTTCATTTGGTTGGATGGGGAGGTCAAGGCGGGCGCTGCGGTGGCGGTAAGGGCCAGGGCGGAGACAGTGGCGAGGAGGGTAGAGGTGCGCATTTTGGCTTTTGTTGTTTTTGTTGGTTCTTGTCTTGTTGGTGCTGGGGAATGGGCTATGAAAGCTGCTTATAAAACGAGTGTGGGAATAGGGGAAGGGGTATTAGTGTGTATTAAGTGAAGGATGCTGAGAAGAAGTTGAAGAGAGACGTTTGATGCAGTGTATATAACATGAACGATCCGTATACCAGTCTCTTGGGATCGCGCTTGCGGAAGCGCGGCACAAGCGATGACGACGATATTGTCAAAGAGTCATGGCTGGGAGTAGGGACGAGACGAACAATGACATACCTCCCCGGCCTCCGACGCAGCCAGCTTCTAGATCAAACAGAGTTAAACCAAATTTTGATTAGCTGGGTGAAAGAGAAGATTTGAAGAAGCAGGTCCAAAACCTCAATGCAGCTAGCATCTAGCAGCGTCTGCATTGATGCAAGCCATCTGAGAACGCTTTTCCGACTGGAAGGCCGAGTTTCTGCAGAGACCAGCCCCCAACCTGGGAAGAAACAGCAAATAATCTGAAACCGCTCAAGACTACAGCAGTTCAAGGCGTCAAACTTCCAAAAAGCGGGTAAAGGTGCCGTTCTTGACTTGGAGGGTTAGTGCTCTCCTAGCGTGGAGCTTCTGGCTAGCTTCTGTGAAAACAGAAACCGTTGTCGATTTAGCTTCGATCTTTTCCTGGTTCCACGAACATGGATGAGCTACCTAAACTCTGTTCCAGGATCAGGGTGCAACGGTGAAGAGACAACACCTTTTCTTCAGTGTTGTTCCGGGGATTGTTCGACAAGCCCATGCGTGAGTCTCTGGGAATGCTAATGTTTCCTAGTGACTCCGTACAATGCATCTTGCCACCCATACCGGAACGTGCCCTCAACCCCGATGCCATCCTCTGGGCTGCTATCGTTTTTGTTGTTGTCAAGAAGCGGAGAGGGTCGTGAACTGGTGATCACGGCCGAGTCTGGTATCCAATTCGTGACTTCAGGCTCTTCGGAGGGTGCCCAGCTCATCATGCAACTTTGAACAACATCGGCAGTAACTCCGGCATCTCGAGGGGCGAGGCTCTTTATCTGCGTTTTGGCCATGGCTAGAGGAATTATCCACACTCTTGGGAATGAGATGCTGCTGTTGGCGCGCTTGCCGTTTGTTCATCGGCCATCAAGGACCCGAAAGAAGTAGAGGCCAGAGTGGAGTATTGACTGTAGTGACAGAACTTGCCGTAGTCAAAACCCGAAAACTGGTAAAATGGGCTTCATCTCTGGCTGAACAAGACTTCCAAAGGCTTGTGACGTATGCATTGAAACTAGACGTGGCAGACAGGTTTGTGGGGAAGGTCCGACAACTCCGAGGCCGCATTGGTAATTTGTACAGGGAGTAGACGCGGGGGATAGAAACAAGCTCAGCGTGGCAAAGGGGGAGGGAAAGGTGAGAGAGAGACCCTCTATGCGGGGGTAGATGCCGATATCAGATGCCGAATCTTGGATGGTGATATCGCTTCCCCAACTTTGGCAGTTGGGGTGTCTTAGAGAGCCTCTTATATGCGGGTGCCATCTTGGACCAGGTTGACGGCTCAAGTGCGTGCGGAGGGTCTTGGTGTCACGTTGATGATTTACCCGCTTGATCGCCAGCTCTGGACACCCCAATTGGGCAATCTCGCTTGTATGTTCCGCCGTGTCTGCGGCTTGGACGTTGTTTTAACCTGCCGATTTCGATCCCAGTGCCTAGCGTAGTGTAACCGTGACATTTTGGGGGTAGAAGCGAGACAAGAAAGTCATATCGAAGGTCGTGGGCTGGGCGGCATGATTGACGACAGGTCGACGACGATGAAGAATGATGGGTATATATATCTTCAAGTGTTGCGCCCTGGTTTGATGTTTGTGACAGCAGCCATCACTCAAACACCCGCCAGAGTCCTCCTCTTCCCACTTGCCCATCATGATGTTCAAGTCCCTTCTTGGTTTCGCCGCCATGGCGCAGACCGCCTTTGGTGCTTCTCTGCAACAGGTCCAAAACTTTGGCAACAATCCCACCAGAATCCAGATGTACATCTACGTCCCGGATCGCGTGGCCACCAACCCTGCCATCATTGTGGCGGTAAGTACTTGGAACACGCCCTCCTGTTTCGCGGACTGTTTGCTGACGATGGGTGTTGTTCCACAGCTTCATCCTTGCGGAGGTACTGGCCAGCAGTGGTTCAGCGGCACCAGACTGCCCTCGTTCGCCGACCAGAACGGCTTCATCCTCATCTACCCTAGCACCCCGAACCAGAGCAACTGCTGGGATGTCCACAACCCTGCCAGTCTTACCCACAATGGAGGCGGCGATGCGGGTGGCATCATCTCCATGGTCAACTACACTCTTGACCGGTACAACGGCAACCGGGAAAAGGTCTATGTCATGGGCTTCTCCAGCGGTGGCATGATGACAAACGTGATGGCTGGTTCCTACCCCGAGGTGTTCGAGGCTGGTGCTGCCTACTCTGGCACCGCCCACGCCTGCTTCGCTGGTACGTGCAACTGTTTTGTTTCTGCTTTTTGCCTGTTGTGGCTCGGATGTTGTTTGCTGTCCTCAAAGGCCGTGCTGACAAGTCGACTCTTTTCTCTACAGGTGCCGGTGGAGCTACCCCCTTCAGCCCCAACCAGACCTGTGCCCAGGGTCTCCAAAAGACTCCCGAGCAGTGGGGTGCCTTTGTCCGCAACTCGTACCCGGGATACAACGGCCGTCGTCCCCGTATGATGATTACCCACGGAAACGCCGATACTCTTGTTCGCCCGCAATGCGCCACTGAGGCGTTGAAGCAGTGGTCAAACGTCCTTGGCGTATCGCTCACCCGCCAGGTCCAAGGTGTTCCCTCATCGCAATTCACTCAGCACATCTATGGCGACGGTACCAAGCTCCAGGGCTTCTTTGGCAATGGTGTTGGACATGCTCCCTCTGTCGACGAGCAGACCCTGTTGAGATTCTTCGGCTTGATCGCTTAGTGTGTTGACATAATCTCCGACTCGAGGCAGGAGTGCGGGGCGGGTAAGATCTGGTGGTGGCAACGGAGCCTCCAGCGGCACAGTGCGTTGAGGCGGCCGCCCGGTTTCTTACCCGCTAGGGAGTGGGGGTCACGGATAGCCAGGGGGGTTTGGGTGAATGGCTGCCGGTGATGTTCAGAGTGTTCATAAACGATTGGGTTACTCAGTATATATAAAAAGGCTTTCTTCTTGAATCTTGAGTTTCGGGTGAGTGCGTTCGTTTGGAGTCGTGCGGATGAATGTGGTACAGCTTCATGCTGACTCCTCATGAATGGATTATGAAGCGGTAAAGTGCCTAGATGTCAATTCTTTTTATTGGGGGCCACCGAAACACGGGTCTAGCCGTCCCAAATAAGCCCAATGTAACAACAAGTGAGGGGGGCATCTGTAGGTACCGGTTGAGGAAGTTGTGGTTCAAGTTCGACTTCCCTTTAGTGAATGAATGGATGGTGATGTTACCTTCAGAAACAAGGTTCCGAAGGCGTCAAACGATGCCGCAGTGATGCATACAGGGTTATTGAGTGTAGATAGGCTTGCGCCAGGGTGCTGTCAGAGATGAGTTGAAGCAGGACGTTTACAAAGTGAGTGACAATAAGAAAGCCTCAGCTTCAGCTTCGGCTTTGATTCTTTCCTGCTTTGATCAGCTGCCCGGCAGTCATCGAGAGCTTATCTCGTTTCGTTGGTGCCTAATTCTTCTTATGTAAGTCACCAGGCTCCAGTGCTGGACTGGCACATCTCGGGGAAGGAACCATGGAGGTCACCACCCGTGACTTCCATCCAGTTTGTGGGGTTCGAGTCTGAGTTCACCGGCAGTTTCCCAATCTTCAGTCGGGTTCCATCATCCACATGATCGACCGATCGGGCGATACAACCTGGAAGTGGAATATCACAGACCTCTCGGCGCAAGAAATCATTCCCATCATTATTTTTCTACCCCGTCTCCCGCTGCCCTGTCGCTCTAGTCGCATAACTTCGTCCGTCCGTTTCTTGGCTGGCCATCACAACAGCACAGACCTGCTGCGCAACATATGCTCCTCTAAACGTTTGCGGATGCTAAGCGCCGACTCAGCATGAATCGACAAATTGATGACAACCAGTGGTAGAAACGACACAAACTTGAAGACGACTTCGTGGCAGTTTTGAAGGCAAATGGAAAACTATTTGAGTGGTGCGGACACGCCGGTTAGTTAAGCGCTGTTTCCGCTGAGCATCTGTCTGCCAATTCGGTCATTCCGTCGCTTGGGCGCCCTGATAGCTAACGATAGGTTCCAGCCGCAGAAAAGAGGTGCAAACAAGGCCGGCCATATACTTGGCGGCATAATGAAAACCTCTGGAAACAAGCTGTGGGCCGCAACAGACCCCTTGTCAAGCAATATGGCGGCGCATGCATGGAAGCCTTCTAGAAGGAGTTTCCTCCTACAGCCGAGATCTGCTCTCGTCATCCCCGGCATCCCCCCCCCGCCCCCCCCCCCGGGTCATTCCCATTTGCAACCTCTCGCAAACTATGTACAGCCAGGCCAGCATCTATCGGCGGCTCCAGCACGCATTCGGCCTGGTATACGCCCGCTACAGTATCATCCGACATCATGGTTCGTCATAGGTAGCGACGACCAAAATATCACCACTCGGTGCAACCCCAATAACACAACACGTGGTGAGGGTGTTGTGAGAGAGCGCTGAAATGCATGTTTAATGTTTCCCAAGGTTTCACACACTCATATTCCCTTACCGCCTGTCAGAGAGGCATGAAGGCCAGCGGCTTGATGCGATCTGGTGGTTGCCAACCCCTGTCCAATCCATTGGCTTCGCAAAGGAGCCCCAAGGCGGCACAGACGTCGCCGCGTTGGTCCGCGCCGTCACTATACAGGGGACGTACTTCTGGAACATGCATGGAAGCTGCGTGGAAGCTACACAGAAGCCTTCGACGTTGCATCCGACTTTTTATACTTAGCGGGATACCCGTGCCTCGCACCAATCTCATCCCACAGGAACAGGTACCTCTGCATCAGGCCCCTTTGGGCCCATCTGGCTCCCCCTGGCTGAACCACATCTGTCTTCCTCCCCCCCAGCTGCCCATCACCACCCTTTTACGGACCATGTTCAACTCCGTCTGCGACCAACTCCCCACATTGACCCCACGAACAGACCAGGGGACTCTACTGCTCCTTTCACTGCCCTTGATCAAATAAACACTCGGAATTGTCCGCATTAAACAATGGCCCAGGCCGGAATATCACCTTTACCTATCTCGATATCGACGATTATGCCTGCAGACATGATGGCTCATCTTGGATCAGGCCAAGGACAGCCCGGCCTCGTCATGTATGGTCTCTATGGACTAGATACGTTCGAGCACGTCGAGATCGATGAATATCAGGTTCCGTTCCCCATCAACCGCCGTCGACCATGCTCAAGCAGTTTTCCCAAGCCTTGCGTGTTCGACAGTATGGCCTCCTCACCATCACCAGGCTCTGTTACAACTGCGCCGTCCAGAGAAGGCTCTCGGATCGGACGACCACCGCAATGGACAGTTTCACGATCGCGAAAGCTGGCTAGGCTATACCTCTATACGACACTTTCCATCGAGAGGATTATCCGGGTGCTTGAAGATGACGTCTTCAAACCGAGGTGCGGGGATCGGGAGTTTGCAGGGCTCTACACGGCGCTGACAGATTTTGCAGGAAGAATTCAGCTCAAAAGACGATTCACAAAATGCTGGACAACGACCCCCGATATCTTCGACCCGAGTCACGGATTGAAATGAACCAACGCATCAGTAATCTTGCTGCCTCTGTCACTCGCCGAAGAAAGAAGACGGCAGTTCCAGCCTACGAATCAAGCCTTCATGGAGCAACCATAGACGCCTTGTATGGCGAGGTTAGTGGTAGTACTGTGGACCAAAAGCTGGGAATCCTGCTAACAATATTTTTCATTTACAGAAAGAACACAATCTGGCAAGGACTGAAATTTCGTCAGTATCCGGCTCAAGCCGTAGGGTAGAGGAAGGCCCTTCCTTTGACTTTGCTGGTTCGCCCGACGCACTCCTTAGTCCCATTCGATGGTCGATACCCCTGAGCGCTCAGACGACAGACGTCACCGACTTTGCGGGCTCTAGTGACAGAGGTTCAGCCATGGTCCAAGACCTCAAGAGGAGGCTATCAGACTGTTCCACGCACTTCGCCCACCAAATCACATCGTTGATTAGAGACTTTACTATTGCTGGAAGTTCACAAGACGAATTATCTACTGGCCGCCGACCTTCTGAGGCTCTCAGTGACAGGTCTGGGCACGATGAACTTTCTGAGTTGGGGATCAGTAACGAGCCATTCGAAGCCTTCCCCGAGCCGGCCTTCGCAGTACCAGGAGACTTTTTAAGCGCGCACAGACGGAACTGTGCCGACTTTCCAGGGCAGCAACATGGAGTCGGTGACTGTTGGTGCTCCATCGCCGGTGATACCTCACTGGACCAGAACTCTTGGTTGATGCCGACGGGTGAATTGAGTGTGCGTGCACGCCATGTTCTTAATCATCCTTCTCCAGGTAGTCTCAGCCTCCTTGACAGTTTCGGGAACACGCCTCTACACCTCTTCGCCACGCTAGAAGGGTACCAAGACACCCTCTTCAGAATGGTGCTCAACTGCGATGTCGAAACCCTGAAGATTACGAACACTGCTGGCCAAACGTTTCTCCATACGCTCAACCTGGATTGGTTCCTTAACCTTACAGACCCGTCGACACTACTGAAACAACTTCTTTCACACATCAGAGACTCAGTTCCAGACCTTGTTCACGAGACCGATGTGTATGGACGCACCTTCTTTCACCGCGCCCATTCCCTCGTTCGGGACCCAGAAGCCCTTGCCAACCTCTTCTCTCCGTTCGACTCTCTTCGGGCAGCCCGTCGTGATGCCTTCGGCTTCAATCCTCTTGGCAGCGGCATCACGGGCGACCAAGGCCCATATACTCCCCCAAGAAGAGGAAATAACCTTTCACCTCAAGTTGAATACCTTTCCAGTTCCGCCGGTCCTTCACGCGGTCATTCTGCCTCGCCCAGCGACAACGACTCGTTCTTAGCCTATCATGCTCGTCTTGTCGAAGTCATCCAGTCATCCTACAACAACCCACAGGTGGAGGACGCTGAAGGCCGTAACGGATTACACTGTCTCGCAGAGGCTATTCTCAACCAGCAGTCCATGAACCGCCATGTCTCTTCTTCTGTCGGCGCCCCTTCCATCCACCAGCGACCCAGTCTCAAACGAAAACTAGACTCTTCCAAAGAGTCAATCACTTCTTTTCCATCACCTTCGCCTTCCTCCACCGCTTCTGCTTCGACCGCCTCGAACGAATCTACCCTCACGACTCGACTTCGCCATCTCACTGGCCTTCTCCACCACTCGCACGTCGATGTCAACGCCTATGACAAGTCAGGCAACACACCTCTTATGGCTTTCATCACACATATTCCAGACGATCAGGACGACAAATCAAAGACATTACTCGCCATTCTTGAAACTATCATTCGAGCAAAGGGGTGCAAGATCGAGGCTAGGAACAGAAGGGGCGAGACAGCCTTGTTGGTGGCGGCTAGGCTGGGCAGGAAGGTAGCACTAACAACACTGTTAGAACATGGAGCCAATGTTCACGCCCGAGATGTGGATGGGAGGGGGGTGTTGGAGGTGGTGGATGAAGTTTGCAAGGGGGCTGGGAGGGGAGAAAGAGGGAAGGGTGCTGGCAAGGGGGACATAAGCCTGTATGCCAGGGCGGAGGCTTGCAGGGTTCTGTTGACTGGGAGGAGGGATTGGGGTGTTGTTGGAAGGCCTGGGGTAGGGAGGGAGTGGAGGGTGTAACTACAGTACGGCTGTGGTTATAAGGATGAGACGGGTAGAGGGTTTCAGAGGCCGGATGTAGAGTCGCTCCAGACTCGATCCAGACTCGATCCAGAAGGCTCCAGTGCAAGTTGGGACCTGTATCAAGATATCACCAAAGAGGAAAGTAGCTGTATATAGACCTCTAAACTTAGCCGCTTCACATATTTAGACCTACGGCATGTACATAGACAGTTTTAGGACATTGACGATTCACATGGCCTCTTTATTCTAATGAGGGAGGCCCCATGACCCCTGTTTCCGAATCCCGAAAAAGTCATGAGGAGTAGACCAGTCCGCCATCACCCTGTATGTTAGCTGGGTCTTGGGCCAGTAGTCAGTAGCCTATTCGGAATATCAATTGTAGCTTCATTCTTTTCATGATCTGCTGACTGTGACGTCGCAGAGGGGGACTGGTAGGTTGTTTGAGGACACGATGGGGGGTTGTTGATAGGATCTGGCCTCGGGCGGTTGGGGGGTAGAAGTCCTTGACAGGGTTTTGAGAAGACTTGAAGAAGGCTGCGAGAAGGGCTTTGAAAGGTTCATGAGGTTAAGAATGAGTGGGGCAAGCCGTGTTGGGACTGCTTAAGTTACAGGAGTAATTGAAGAATGTGAACAAATAACAACAAATATTAATAGATATTAATGAATATTAATATATATTGTCGAATATTAATGATATCAACATTGCGGTGCGATCATTATAGAACACCAACGAAGTCGACGATAGGTACAGTCATGGTTGTCTGTAAACTAGGTATGTTTCTCCTCGCACAACCTCAACACCAACACAGTTGGCGACGACGCCGGCCATTTTCAGCGCGCACACAGTGCTCACGCAAGTATTTTAGTCTCTAGTTGCTGAGTCATGGGACCAAATGACCACACGACAAGCCACCATATCCTTTGGCCTGTGATCCTCCCCCCTCCCCCCCAGGTAAGTAGAGTCCACAGCCTTTCTCTTGCGATTCAGCTACCTAACTTCTTCCCAAGTTCATCATAGACGCAGCCCTTTCGTGTCCATGACGGAGGTGAAGTGGGGAATGCCAAAGTAGCGTGTTCCGTCGTCTATAAAGTCCTGGTTTGCCCTCGACGACTCAAACACACCATCTTCGACCTTACATTGCCACCTCACCCGCCAATGCCTCCTCTCCACCCACTGCAGCCCAACCACCACCTGCCTCTGCGCCAAACTCGGCCACCCCTGCAACCCACAGTGCAACTGCCACCCCTCCCAACCCCAACAGCAACTCCCAACCTGCAATAACCCCCTTTTCCCCCGGAAAGCCCCTCGATACCATCATCGCCCGGGTATTCAGCGATGTCGACGACAACAACAGCAATAAAATCCACCCCAACGCCTGCTTCGCCACCTACCTCCTCCGCAACCCCACCTCTCCCGCCGTCACCTCCATGACACCCGAGTCCCTCTTCCGGACCCTCCTCCAAAACCTCCGCCCATTCATCGATAGGTTTGAGATGGACCGGGGAATCTTGGACGAAGACGGGAAAAGCCTGACCCAATGGCTCCGCGACTTTGAATAAGTCAAAAAACTACCAGAGGACAAACCCTGAAAGCAAGAGGTCGCGAAGCGAATTGCTGTTGGTAAGTGCCGCAGAATGAAAGCACTGCCCAGAGACGATGTCCACCTCGGGTGAGTTTTATTCCTTTTTGTCTCAAGAGCTGGGAAAGCATGCTTGAGATTTGGCACTGTCCAGAGTGCGGCGAGTGCAACAGGCTCAAGGCGTGGCATTGCGGGAGGTGCGAGACGTGCAGGGAGTACGACATGGGTCTCTGCCGGGGCTGTGGAGGTGTATCCAAGTTTTTTGTGAATCAGATGGAGCAGAGTGGAAGAGGAATGGGAGGGGGCTCGGACTGGTCATGATGCGAGAAGAATTTGTGATATAAAAGGTGCAATAACATGCTTGATGTTTATTTTCCAACCCACACACACCCTTCGTAAACACAGCTAGGTAGACACATCCAAAATGATTAAACACCGTTCCTTCTTCTCCCGCCCTGCTTGCTCTTGGCAATGTGATTCGTCAACGCCTTCTTCGTCTCGACCAAACTCCTCTTGTTCTTGGCCCTCGCCTTGCCAATCGTCATCAAGAAATTCTTCTTCCTCGCCTTCTCCTTGTTGGTCGTGCTCTTGCCCTCGGCCTCCTTCTTGCTCTTCCTGATGGCCTGAGTAGACTTGTGTTCCTCCCTGCCTGGCTTGCCATCTCTCGCCAGAGCCACCCTCTCCTCCTTGGTCGACTTCTTGCCCAACATAGCCGGAAGCTCGATATCCTCAGCTGTAACCCCGTCCTCAATGTGCTTCTCGATAAGCTCCTTCTTGCGCTTGGACTGCGTCGTGCCCAGCATCTTGTCAAGCTTGGCCTCCCGACGAAGTTCCTGCAGCTTGGCCAAATCAGCCGGCGTCAAAATGGTCGTCGTGGCAAGCTTCGTTATCCTTTCCGCCTCAGCCGCCGGGTCTTCCTTTTCCACAAGGTCGGGCGCCTCATCGCCATCGTCATCATCACCGCCCTTGGTCTTCCTCGCCTTCTTCTTGGCAGGCCCGTCATCTTCCTCGTCACTGCTGACGTCGATCCACCCGCCAGAGGATTCGCTGTCCGTAGAACCAATCTCCCACTCGTCAGAGTTGAACCCGTCATCCTCCTCATCGTCGTCCTTCTTCGCCTTCTTCTCGCCGTTCTCATCCTCCTCTGCCTCTTCGGCGGCCTTCTTCTTCTTTTGCTCCTCCTTGTACCGGGCCAACAACTCCAGACCCTCGATACCGCCCTCTTCTTCCTCGCCGAACCTGCGCAGCTTGATCTCGCCTGATCTCAAGCCCATGGTGGCTTGCTTGCCGCGGAACTTCTTTTGCAGCAACTCGGGGTAGACCTCTCTGTAGAGTGACTGCAGACCCTTGGCAGCCATAACAACACCCTTATCCTTGCTCTTTTGGTACATGACCAGATCCTGGAGGAGGGTCTCGTTCATGCACAGCGGCTGGCGCATGGCCACCTCCCTGATGGAATTGATACCTGCCGCGCACACCTCAACTGCTGAAGCTTCCGAGACAAACTCGTTGGCGATCTTCACAATCAATGGCTCAATGACATCGGGTGGGACGAGGTTGTGTGTTGCCTGGGCCAGGGAAGCCAGGAAAGAGGTGACGTTGGCCTGTTTGGGTGACAGGTACTTGACGAACCAGGAGTAGAGCGAGATGATGGTCAGCTTGTGCAGACCGACCAAACGGGTCACAAGCTGGAGGACAAGAAGCTTGTTCTCGAGAGAGAACTTGTTCTTGGTGTTCTGGAGGTGCTTCTGGAAGAGCTTCTCGGCGAAGCCCTGAGGGTCGTGGATAAGATGGAGCGCCGAGAAGTTGAGGGGATGTGGCGCATGCTTCTTCTTTTCTTGCCTAATGTTGTTGTGTTAGCCACTACCTTGCTTCGGGTCTCTTGTTTCGTCAACACGTACTTCTTGATCTTTTCGATCGCCTTCTCATACTGCTTCGACCTCTTCTTGGTCTTCTTGTTGATCGTCCCCTGATGCTTGACCTTCTTAAGATCAACATCATCATCACTGGCATCATCTTCCAACGCCTCCTCTCTCTCCTTGTCACCGCCCAGAAAGAATCTCACACCACCCACCACAACCTTCTCATTGTCGCTCAAGCAGGCCTCCTTCATGACATCGACCGGTCGCGCATCGTTCCAGACCTGTCTTCTCCACAATTCTCTCGTGATACGGCAAGCCCACATTCCCTTGGTCGAAGTCCTGTCAGACGTGACCAAATTGTGCAGCACCGTCTGAATCGTCCGGTTCAACTTGTGATTCGTGGTCTTGTTGTTTGCCTCCCTCAAATCGCTGATAATCTTGGTGTACAGCAGAGATCGGAGCGTCTTGCTTGGTGTGTTGATCAAAATAGGAAATAGCGTCGTCAGCAGGCTCGTCGAGTCGATCACATCCTTCCTCTTCAGCAGCACCAAGCTGCCCACAATCTTCTCCCTGAGCTCCTTGTCGAGAACGGCATGGTGCTGGTTGAGCAACTCCTTCAGATGATCCGGAAATGGGGCGGTAATCTCGGGGTAGAGGTTCGCGACGTGCGCGACAAGATCGACCAAGTCGTGGAACTTCTTGACGTCCTCACTAGAAGCCGTGGCGGGAGAGGAGACGAAAATCTGGCGCTGGGCGTCGTAGGCGAGCCATTGGTCGTAGAATTCCTGCGCATAAGATCTGTCGATTGCGAAAGCTTCTAGTTAGCGATCAATTGGCGAAAGAGGGTTGGAAATGCGGCACACCTGGGATCTCTGCGAATCTTGTACTGCAAACTGACCAGGTCAGCCTCGACCTTTTCGAGCGCGGCAACCTTTCTTTTCGGCATCTTTTCCCAAGGCGACAGCGGCGGTGCTGGCGATTGATGGGCGGTTGGATTGGGTGTGTTGGACGGTGGTTGTTGACTGTCAGTCTAGATTTTTTTACTTTGTTGCTGGCAGACCAGGACTGCGATAAGGCTTATCGGCTACTTTTCAGTGGGGCTTCCCCAAGCTGATGCGGGGCCACTCTGCAGGCGTTCATCCAATGATTCAGGAACCCCCCATCCTTAAATCCGGTGAGTGCAAGCTCTCCATAAACAGTACCTTCAAGTCACATGAGAACAAGACGGAACAAGAATTAGATGATATGCAAATTAACGGAGTTGAGGCACATATACCTAGTGTATAGTGCATTCAGTTACATTGGTCCTTATCCCTCGCTATCACGCAAAAAAAAAAAAAAAAAAACCTCTACCGAATGTTTTTATCCGTAGTGCGCTCATCCAGCTCTTTGCCTTCTTTCCTCACATGTAGAGCTCCCAAATGGTCTCTCAAGGAACCTCCCCCATCATCAATCGTCATACACCCAGTCATTCTTCCAAGCGAAAAAAAGAAATACATCGCATGTCGCCGTTTTGGCCTGTGTAAGGATGACGTCCTTGCAATAAAGCCCAAGACCTTGTCCCAAAAAGAAAACCCAAGGGTAACCGCCAGCTCGCTCCAAACGCCCTTGATGAGCTCTCATCAACCTCAAAACGAATAAAAGAATATACGGAAGACCCAGAAAGGATATGCACAAAGAAAAGTAATCCCAAGAGCTCAGGCAGCAATCAAGCGCTTCTACAAGCCGACACCCAACATCTCCAACCTGGATGCGATACAATCCAACTTGGAGGTAAGCCGTTGTATCCTCGCGACAGCCCTGTCCGCAACCGCTTCATCCTCGGTAGTGTTCACCAATTCGTACCGGCTGAGTGCCTTCTCGGGTTCAATGCCACTGAAGGTGTCCAGTTCAGACACGGACTGGGAGAGGGCCTCGACGTCAAGTTCAACTGGGCTGGTCACTGACTCGGTAGGAGCAGGAGAGTCGTGGTAGAGGACGAAATCGGGGTTATTCTCAAACTCCTCATTGATGGGAGCGGGCTCTTGCTTCTTGGCCTCGGCGAGGGTCGGTGCCTGCTCGATGACGGGCATGTCTTTGTCATCATCGTCCGAATCGAACTGTTGACCAACAAAGTTGCTGGTCTTGCCAGAGAGAAGGTTGGCATCAAAGATGGGCTCGGGGGTCTCGAGGACAGCAAAGACCTGGGGCTGGTATGAGAAGCCATCGCTGGGCTCCATGTTTACCAGCGAGGAGAAGTCAACCTGCTCAGGAACCATGGCCAGACCGATTTGCTGGTTGTGGAGCTGTTGTTGAGCGGCATATGGGTTGATGTCCTTGGGCAACTGACGCTGCTGCTCTGGTTGGGAGGTCTGCTGAGGCTGAGACTGGGGAAGCATCTGAGGATTTGCGCTCAACTGGTTGAGGAAATCAGAGAAGGAGGGAGAGCCAAGAAGCATGCGTGTGAGGTCGGTGAGACGCTTGTTCTCATCAACCAGGGCGCGGTTCTGGGCACGAAGATCGCCGTTCTCGGTGACCTTGTTGGCGATTTCACTTTCAAGCTGGGTGATGTATTCTGTGAGGGTGTTAGTGATATGCTCATGATAAACAACACGTTGATGCACTTACCCTTTCTCCTGGATCTGAAAGCACGGGCGGACACCTTATTTCTGAGCTGTCGTCTTTCCTTGCTGCTAAGCTTCTTGCCCTCTTCACTTGCGAGCAGCCTCTCATCCTCATCCATGTCGTCCTCGTCCTTCTTTGGGCGGGGAATGTTGAGGACGGTATTGTTCTGGGAGGGCTCCTCTGAGGTCTTGGCGCGCATAGAGTTAAGAAGCTGAGTAATCTTCTGCTCGACAATAGGGTCGCTGGCCTGCGGTGACTTGGCCTTCTGTGCGGACTTGTTTTGTTGCTGTTGAGCCTGCACACGCTGTCTTTGCTGTTGCTGTTGCTGTTGTTGCTGCTGCTGCTGCTGCTTGGCCAAGGCTGCCTGTTGGTGCATGCCGGGCCAAACGCGACCGGGCTGGAACACCTGAGGCGGCGGCGAGGACAGCCCGGATGGCTCCTGTGGACCGATGTTGCTCGGGTTGATGGTGGACTCGTAGAAGAAGGTCGGATCCGATGAGGGCGAGTCGAAGTCCATGGTGTCCAACTCGGGCGACGTCATCGACCCCTGCGACGGCGCCGTGTTAAAATCGAACAACTCATCGTTGGTGCCCATGTTGAGATAATCAAAACTCCCGAATCCGGTGTTGTATCCTTGAAGATGGGCGTTGGGCTGGTTGAGCGAAAAGGTTGTTGCGATGGCTCCGGGAACAATACCGGTTTGTTGTTTGTAGAGGTCGTACTGGTGGCTGGGCCCGCTTAGCGTCTGGTTGGTCTGGAGCAGGGTGTTTGCCGTTGTTGTCTCGGCCTTGATCGGTCGCGCAAACACGCCCTTGTTCGAGCCGGCAGGTGAAAGAGAGGGAGACTGGTAGAGGTTGTTGGTGTCGTAGTCGGAAAAGTCGACAAAAGAATCGAGGGTATCAATCAACCCAGGCTGCGTCGCAGCCGGGCTCGTTGACATAGGCGCTGACATAGCTTGCCCCCCAGGGGAAATAGGACTGCAGTGATCAGGTCAGGAGTGACTGATCAGTAGGTCAGGGAGGTAGGTGTTCTCGGCGTCGACGTGTTCGTTGTCGTCGAGAGTTGCGTGGTTTCGTGGATTTGTAGCAGGCAGGTGGTTTGTTGTAGTTTTCAAAGGGGCAGCCGGAGCAGGTGTTGGAGGGAAGGGGTGCGGGTTGTGGGAGTTGGGGGGATTTTCAGTCTATGGGTGCCTGGGAAGGCCAGCGGTTTGGGCAGTGGTCGGGGCGCTTGGCATCCCGTTGCAGGGAGTGGGTCTGGTTGGACGAACCAATGCAGGCTGACAGGGATTGTGTCACTCTGTGAGGGGGGGACGCGTAATCCAATGCCCAGAGCACCCCTCGCCCAATTGGAGGAGCAGCCCTGCTAACAGCCGGTACCTTGTTTCCCACCGTTTTCTGTGCTCTTTGAGTACCTCGGCCAAATTCCTTCTAGTCTTCTCCCCTGCGGCTGCGGTCTGAGGGTGACGAAGCCGACTGCTCCTTTGGGAAGAAGGACAGCTTGCTGACGGTGTGCAAAAGGCCCCAAAATTGATGCCTTGACGACTCGCTGCACAAGTTGACGTTGACAGCACCTTTGTGACGACTACCTCGGTGCGGGGAAGCTATTTGAGCCTCTTGACTCTATCTCTATCTTCTTCATTCTCATTCTCATTCCCGGTTCATTGCTCAATTGTGCGGACGGGAGGCAGTTCTCGGCGGATGGACGGACATGTCGGACACAATGGGGTCGAAACACCAGAAAACAGCGGGTCGCCATCCGGGCAGTGCAGATATCAACTCAGAAATTGTGCAATCCTGTTGGTCAACAAGCATCTGCACAGCCTCCTAGCTTCTTTGCTACCCATTCGCTCTTGGTACTGATATTCGTGTTGGGGAGAGCATTCTGAAACTTTGACAGCATGACTAACATGTGCATCCCACCCAAACTACCAGAGAATCCTCCACTGGCTGGGAACTTATTAGACGTGATACTCTCCGCGCTCCCAACCCCTGATAATTCCGAGCTGTTGATATGGCACAAGAACCTCGATGGCCCCGTTTGTAAAACAAAACGTCCAATGTGGAGTTTCATGCAACAACCGCCGGCCCCATCGCCCCGTTGGGCTCCATTCTCTCCGTACAGTATGTAGAAGACTCTTTACTTGCGAAGCCAGCTGATGGACTATCAGTAGCTAGACGAGGCCAAACACCGCCTCGCAGATAGGCTTTTCCAACCCATCCCTCAGCAGACATTGAATGAAGACTTTGGGTGTTTGGCCACCACAAAAATGGCCAGAGTTGCAGAATGCATCACCGGAACAGCAGGACAAAGCAGCTACAGTGCCCCTGTCTCAACTCCGGGAGCAAGACCGGAACGGTGAACGGACGTGGCGCCCACCGAGCGACCGGGCGCTTGCAACGGAACAAAATCCCCCGAAATTTTCGGTGAACAAGATCAACCCCCCATTCCCGCACCGGACACGGGGAGCGTAAAACGTTGTTTCAACCGATTGTCGGGGCTTCCAAGCCGCCGATCTACCGACCCCCCAGCCTTGTGGAACCTTTCTCTCCCTTCTTTTCTGCAGATCAACGCCTTCACTAGCCACAGCTCTTGGCGCGCTTGATGACTGTGCGAACAAAAATAGCAACAGCCCCAGATCTCTTCCATCATAAACCCACACTCCACACTTTTCACTGCCGACGACATGCAACCAAATCAGACGGGGACCTTTGATGAGGCTTGAGCATTCCTCGTCCCATACCATATCCTGATGAAAGCCACAAGAGACACGAGGTTGCCGGCGGCCTCCCATTTCAACGGGAACTCCCGCATTATTATCACCAGCGGCACAACATCCAATTCAAACCCCATCATCCCCAGAATGGTAGTAGCCGAGATTGACGATTGAGGCTGTGAAAGTCTGCGATGGTAAGGAGACCACTGTCACACCACCGCCGACATAATACGTGTATTTGAACTGCATGCCAAACCTCGCCTTTGTCGGTCTCGTCACCTTTTGCAAGACATGAAATTGGATGCTTCAAACACGAACCACCGAACAGCAAATAGCCCAGCCAGCCAGCCAGACCGCCAGCAGCATCAACAAGCCCGAAGCTAGCGTCTCCGCAGGGCAGCGCATGTTCTATTCCGGTCCCCTGGCAAGGCACCGTGATCTTGAGTCCGTTTGCGCAAAGTCAAACCTTCAGCAGTGTCAGTGAGTGCCTACACTAGAGCGAAAAGCCCCTATCAATCCCTCGCAGGTCATGAAGCATCATGCCTTGCAAAGAACGGGTATCGATGTCATGTTGCCTATTTCAGGGTCTTTCCCTGCATGACTTGTTTTCCCATCCCAACAGAAAATTCAACGGGACTCCCGGCGCATGACCATGCCTCTCCCGTCACTGCCATCCGCCCTTCGGTCTCCGGTCTCGAAAACAGGTTTAAAGAGAGTGACATCAGTTGTGTGTGCGCCACAACCTTCTCTTTGACATGTGGCTCAGCATGCGTGCGGGATAGCTGTGGCGTCAGTGTGCTGTCAGTCGGAACTTTGCCACACTTGCCCATTTGGGCATTACTTGTGGCTGTGTGGCTGTGCTCACAGCGTCGTTTGTGAGTGGTGCTTCGGCAGATCATGGCTCGATCGACGGCCACAGACGCCCGCATCAAGGTTTTGGAATCCCACAGATCATTGGGGATCGACTTCGTGTTTGGCTTTGTCTGCCGATCTCCGGATAGGATATCCTGTCGGGTGCTATGGAAGTCATATTGACGAAGTTGGTCCGATGATGGAAATCCACAAAAGGGGGCATGTCAAGGGTTAGGGTTATATAACTGTCCTCCTTATCCAAGCACCACTGACTCCCATGATGGTCTCAAATCTGTCCAAGCGATGAGGTCGACTACACCGCTGGCTAGACGGTAGAGTACCCCATCTATCTCTTCCGTGATCAAAACACAGAGACCCCATGGAGCTCCTGGCGCGAAATCCTTCCACCCAGGTTGACCATAACTCCGAACATCCCACGCCACCCCAGCCCCGATAACCACGACGCGATACGTCCTGCTTGGATCATCAAATATCTGCTCAGCCCACTGCTTCTCCATGAGCATTGTCCTCCCAACGAAGGGAAGCTTGTCGATGTTCGTATCTGGCTTCGGGGCGGAGGTCATCATATCAAAGCAGACAGCCGTAGCAGGCGTGTTGAACAATGTCTGTTTCGCCGGGTGAAGCCACAGCGACGCGCAAGTCGTGGTAAACACCAGCGACCCCGGGATCCTTTCCCCTTTTCCCCTCGCTTCATCACTTATCCCCTCGTACCGTCTCGCCTTCCAAGGATTATGCCAACACCCCCTCCACGAATGCGCCCTCGTCTCCCACTCCCCCCTCTCTGCCAGCCTATCCCCCCTCACCCACTCCTCATCCAAATAATCCCAAAACTCTTCCTCAGTCATGTAGTCTAACCCGAACCAAGTCTTGTCCTCTACCACCCTCCTCACCTGCTTCTTATCAGAATACCAAAACGTCACCAAATTTCCCACGTCAGAGGGGTAATACCCCCTAAAATACCTCAGCCCGGGTCCATACAGATTCGGCGTGCCAGCACTCCCACCCCCCTCCCCCCTCAACCCAAACGTAGCCCTAAACCCAGGCCCGTAATCCACTATCCCGTCCCAGCTCGCCCAACTCCAACTCGGGATCCCCAACGTTTCATCCCTCCCGACGGCAAAATCATCTGACCGCCATAGCAGCCCCTGGAGGAGATACCGCTCCGGAATCCCAAACAACATCTCCGTTTCCATTCGTGACGAGAGCACATTCCCCACCCCGGCAAACGCGTTGAGGATATCACTTCTGAAGGACAGTTCCCTCATGGAGTAAGGAATCGCGCAGCAGGCGTAGGCAACAAAACTTGGTTCAACTTGCAGCCCCGAGGTGGAAGAGTCATGGACTGTGTCGGCCCCCACCCGGGTGTCATGCTCCCATCTTGCACCTTGGTAACAACTAAAATACGCGCGCTGATCATCAACAAACACCAACCTTCTTGACAGCTTTCGTTCCTGAAATGTCCACCCCCTTGCATCCCATCTTGAGCCTCTGATAGCTCTGTCTGCTGCAGGGCCATAGGCAAGACCGATGGAGCTTTCAAACGGGCCGTCCCATAGGCCGTAAAGGGCTTCGGGGGAAGTGTCTTTGGGGTGGGAGGAAACACCCGGGAGTCCGGGTTTGGAACTCAAGGCAACAATGGTGAAATCCGCCATGTGGTAGATGCGATCCATGGCGGTGATTTGGGAGTGTTTGCTTTTTGCGTCGTCCTGGATGATGCAGAGTCTGTCGACCCAGAGGTAGCGTTTGCCGAGGTCGCGGCAGAGTTGGATTGCGTCTGCCAGGACTGGGGGAAGACGGCTGATATCGAGACCGTGATCACGAGAAAGTAGGTCAATGTTGTCGAGCTGAAGTTGGAGCTCATCTGCTGGGGTTGGAGAGGTTGTTTCTGGAGTGGCTGCCGCCCAGCAGTAGCTAAGCGCGACATAGTCTGCGTTGGGTGTTGTCCAGTCCACGATCCTGTTGAGTTGGGTGTCTATCAATCGGAGACCTGGTGGTGCCACCATTGGCATGAGGAGGTCGTTACATTCGTCTCCGTGGTTGTGCCGGCAGTCGTCTAACCATGCGGTCAAGTTGGGGAGTGAGATGGGATTTGGCATCCATTTTTCGACATGCTGGAGGTCGTAGCTGTCGTGGCGGTAATAAAGCACCAGCTTGAGGACGAGGGGTGTGAATGAAGAGGTCCCGTTGCTTTGAGTAAGGATGACGCCGGGTAGAATACAGATTCGGCCTGTAAGCGAGGCGTTCGGCGATGGTGCTGCTGTGAGAGTTGACGAATCTGTGTAGGCTGTTGAGGCAACATGCCTCATCAGGAATGGCCTCCACAGACCAAACTTGAGGGCAGATTTTGAGCCATTAGAGATATGCTGCTGGCCAAAATGTTGAACTGAGTCGCTGACGAGCTGACATATCATACAGCCTCGACGACCTTTGAAGGCATTGAGGTCCTGGTATGCTATGTCGTCGAATGTGTGTGGGTGAACACCTCTAGGCCCCTGAGACCCGCGGTTCATGAAACGATAAGCGTCCAACTTCAGGTAGCTGGGCTCGTCGCAAATTCGAAGGTGGGGGATATCATTCCAAGACTGACAGTTGCCGCATAGGCGTGGGTTGGGAGGGTGTTGCCCCTCACATATCGTGCATGGCAGTTCAGGTGCTTCGGTGTCGTTGTCAAGCGAAATATCTCGGTCATGAGACATGGCGGATGTTGATAAACCAACCATCATAAGTCTAAGGAGCCCTATATTCTATGTTGATGTCGAACAGAATAGTGGACCGACGGAATTGATGCCCAATGGCTCCCGCTTATGAGAGATAGCTGTAGGAAACTCATTACTGCATCTAATCAACAAGCTACTGGTGCTACCTAAGGTACACACCAATGAATGACCCCTCAGCACAAGAAAGATAGTGTCGAAACAAAACAGCACAGAGTGAACCTGAAAATGACGTAGGTAGGCAGTATTCAACCCATCAAAATGGTTTGAGCAGGATGGCGGAAACTCCGCGTGCCAATACCTAGACCGAAAACCAGACAGACAAGCACGGCACCTAGATGGGGAACCGTGGCGCAACAACTAGCAGAGCTGCAGATTCCACACCTGCATCACCTCAGGTGTTACGCTCCAGGCTCCCTTCCTACTGCGTGGAGGTGCACCATTTCTATTCCGTCAAGTCGCGGTCGGTGAACTTTCCCGCGTTCCATCTCAAATATCTTGCTGACATGTGTAGGAAGACAAGAAGAGGCCTTTTTTTTCAACAGAAAACTATTGCCTCGTCGCACGCCCACAACATGAGCATTGAGAGCATTCTTTGCAAAGCACGGTATTGACAGAGGCTCGCCATGCCCAACCGCAACTTCCATCACCGCCGATGGTGTGCCTATTGATGCGCCTTCGATGACAACCAGGCACACAGCCGCAGCCACATTCATGCGGGGTTGACCACCTGTTGGATTAAAAGAAATCGACCTGACCTTATGGGACTCGAGCACCCGGATTTTTCCTTTGTTTTGACGACTGCTACCATTGCATTTCCCAGACTTCCTCATCATGCGGTTAATAAACGCCAACACTTTGCGCTTTGAAGAGTTCTTCGAGAAGCCCCTTCCTCCCTATTTGGTTCTATCACACACCTGGGGAGAAGATGAAGTCACCTTTCGAGACATGCAACAACCCCACCTGCACCTGGGCAAATCTGGCTACGCCAAAATCACACAGACATGTCGACTGGCCCGCTCCAAGGCCATAGACTATGTCTGGATCGACACTTGTTGCATTGACAAGACCAGCAGTGCCGAGCTGACCGAGAGCATCAACTCCATGTTCCAGTGGTACCAAAGGGCAGTGGTCTGCGTCGTACATCTCGCCGACATGGAGTCGGGAGTCGACTTTGGGACTGGTGTCCGGTTCTCCAGATGGATCACCCGGGGATGGACCCTTCAAGAGTTGATTGCACCGAAAAGGGTTGAATTTTATGATAGCAAATGGAAACTTTGTGGCCAGAAGCCTCGAGACAGCGACGTGCTCTCGGCAGCTACAAAAATTCCGGAGGACCTCCTGTTGGGGAATCATCGAAGTTCCGAGTATTCGGTAGCCCAAAGACTATCCTGGGCTTCGTCACGAACAACGACACGTGTCGAAGACGAGGCGTATTGCCTTTTTGGAATCCTCGAGGTAAACATGCCGCTCATATATGGTGAAGGGAAAATGGCTTTTCGTCGGCTGCAGGAGGAGCTCATCAAGCGCAGTAACGACATCACAATCTTCGCGTGGCAGCCGACGCGGGAGGAGGTCCAAGAGGGACACTGTGGTGTGCTCGCCGCATCGCCACAAGCATTCGCGCTGTGCGAGCATGTCTGTGTCTGGAGACCATCGACATCCCACAATCCCCAGTTCGTCCTCACCAACAGAGGCATACAACTGCAAGACATATTTTTTCATCGAATGCCCCTGAAGAACGATCAACCAGCGGGCGCAAACGAAAGTCTCAAGAGAGAATACGTTTTCATGGTTGGATTCCTGTCTCGTGGCTCTGGGGCGTATTTGGGGATCCAGCTGAGAAAGATCGGAGAATCTCTCTTCCTTCGAAAATCACGGCCGCTCAAGATGATCAGCGGGACAGAAAACAAGTCTCTTTTGAAAACGGATATAGCCACCTGCCATTTCGTGACCGATACGCGACCACTCGATAATGATACACTATTGGCATTTCGCAAACGTTGCACTGAGGTCTCGATTCCTGAGTGGAGCATGAAACACACCATCCCGTCTGGTTATTGGGACGATCAGGACATGATTCAGTTTCATCTTCCAACATATCTTGTCGGTGCCTTTCTTCTTGAGGGTGATGTTGGAGGAAAGCGCACCCGCTTCACTGTGCTGTATCGGCGGGAGGGGGAGGACCAGGTACGGATCTACATTCTGGAGACTGCGAAGCATACCGCTGCTACAGCATACATATTTCGTCGTCGAGCCCCTGGGGATATGCTGCACTGGGAAGACTTGGGTTTGGACCACCCTCAAGTACTTGAAGCATCAAATCAAACTCAGGTGGTGATCGACAGAAGGCAATTCACCGTTACCGCCGGTCTACCTAGTAAAGCACTAGATTTCTTTGGGAGGACAAAAATAGGTCGATCCTTACAGTTGGAGGTTGTCGAGAATAGGCCGAAGGGAGACCCGGGGGCCAAGGGTAGGGAGCTCGTTCCATATGGTCAGGGGCGGACAAATCGAAGGCATCGGTCTACTGATGAATCTTTTCCTCGGATTGCAAACACGAGCCTGCCGAGGTCGAGGCCAGGATTCCAATCCATCCCATCATGACGGACGCCTGTTAGATCTTCAATCTGTATCTTGTGTACATAAATAAATCAAATACTCTTATCCTGTTGGCAGAGCGTAATGCTGTAGACTCTCACCATATTGAACGGGATGTCTCGAGGAGTGCTATGGAAACTACAGCCAGCTTTATCAATCATACTCAAAGCACAACAGCTCCCCCCTAGTATCCATCACATCAGCAATCGTAGCATCCGGAATAAGCCCATGCATATGCAGCACGTGTCCCAGCGTCGTCACATTCCCCCCATTATCACCCTCCACAATCGCCTCCCTATTTTCACACAATCTCAGTCAGCTTTGTCTCCCCTCAACCACAAACAGATCAGAAAATACTCACGGTACATCCTCCGGCCTGGTCAGATCCTCCGGGTTCCCAAACCCCGGGCCCCCTCCAAACCCACCACCACCCCCGGGAAACCCAGGGAAAGTCCCATTCCCAGGCGGGAACCCAGGAAACCCACCACCACCACCACCCTCACCTCCCCCAGGGAACCCACCATTAGGCGGCCCGGCCCCAAACCCATTCCTCATCCGATTATTCCCCCCCATCTCCCCCAGCCTAACCTCCGGCCTCAAATCCTGCCACTGCGCCCACAACCGATCCAACCAAGCATGATGCATCCAAAAGGTCGGATCGCTAGGGCTACTGATCGGATTGCCCATCTCGGCCCCCACCCCGCCGTGTCCCGCCCCGTGAGGTCTACCCTCGGCGCAAGCCCAGAAAGACAACCAGTCCTCCTGTCCCAAACACCCGGCTACAATCTCCGGTGAGGCACCGCTGGCGGCAAAGTTGTTGATGTTACGGGTGATACACTTTGGATTATCAGGCGAGAT